ATAATAAATCGTACAAAACAGCAATAAAAACCTTTAAGTTGTTCACAGGGGGAAAATGTAGCCTGTTCATAGAAAATATTTTGGAACAAAAGTGATTGAGTGGAGAACTCAGTCCTCCAAGTACCTCAAGATTGTAAAAAGAAACGTTTGCCCCTCTCAAAAAAGAGGGGTGGCCGCGGTAGCCGAGTGGTATAGGTATCGATCGTGGAGGGCTGTGCCACGAGTTCGAGCCCAATACCACTAAAGACCCGCCGTGTAGGGCAGCCATGCACGCTAAATCTGTCGAGAGCTGAAACATCCTCCTGGGTGTGTGGTGTGGTAGTTAGGAGAGGAGGGTGCCAGCTTAGGTGTCGTCCACGTTCCTTGACCATGGCTCAAAATTACGTGGTCCGTCGCCAAAAGCCCTCGTGTAGCTGAACAGTGCGACGTTAATATTCACTCACTCAAAAAAGAGGGAGTATGTGACAAATACATTTTAGTTTCCCTGAAGACTGTCATATAGGAGGATAGTGTCAAGGTCATTGGTAACAAATAAACAGTTTTCCCAGAATTAACGATTTCGGGAGCTTGGGGTGACTCTATGCCTCGCGCGCCTGCTCCCGGATTAGTGACTAAGCATATCCAACTTTTTTTTTTTACGTGAGAGATATGTTTTTCTAAAAACCGTGTTAATATATGTGATTTACTCACTACGTTCTTTACTTAATTTTAAAAACACTGTGCAAAGGTGATGAAAAATCAGCAGTATAAATCTTTAGGTATGTGTGTTTAGTTATAGGTGTTTCAAATTTATACGAGAGTGGTATGAAAAATTCTCGGATTTAAGTTCAATTGACCTCATTCAAGCTATTCTCATTTTTCAATGTACCGTACATTTCCGAATACAAGTCGACCCATGCTTAAGTCAAGAGTGCGTTTTTGAAAAAATCCTGTAATTTTCAAACATGCTGCCATGGGGACAAAAACGTTGTCAAACGCAATAATTTGTTGTAAAAGTAAAGCACCAGACTTATAATGACCGTGGTTAGAATTATTTCTGATAGTCCTGTGTCTTAAGATAATACATATTTTTCATTAATTTGCTATCTTGAACGCTTTCCTAGTCACACTTTTTGCTCTATTTTTGTTTGAAAATAAGAAGAAACAGAAAATCGGTCGCACAGCACGTGATCGTCGATCCGTGTTTCATGTCCTGGAGGAAAACTAGCTCCATGATGATCTTATGCATTCTGACATCCCGTTGGAGTGGGGGGATTGAGAATTTTACGAGCTGTTTGGGAAAATCGAATTCAGATACCGATTTTGAAGGATTTCAGCCACTTTTTTTAGAACAATGGCTCCATTAAAAACCCCGGGATAAGCAAATTCGTATATAAGCTGACCCCTTTATTTTAACTTTAAAAAAGTTCCAAAAATTATCGGCTTATACGCGGTAAAGTCTGTCTCTACGCTTTTGCAATCATTTCCGAAGTGATGACACATCTGAATAGACCACCTAATTAAAACTCTTCGGTCCCCTTGGCACAATTGAATTTGTTTCCGTTTGCGGTTCGTGTCCCAGTATTTCCAAAGACTCCATTCGAGAACTCAAAATCTTCGAATTAGCACGGTGTGGAAGTTTAACAAATAGGTAGGTACCATACCTCAAGCCCCATTTTCGTCACTTGACCGTAGTTTGAAATTACGACCACAACCGTCACCAACTGTGGTATGAAATTATGAGTTGGTCCATCGCGAACAGATTTTGTCTTTCATCGTAGTGTGTGATGTTAATAATAAATCACAGCGGTCGAATATGGAGAATATTCACCCAATGTGTTTTGTAAATCTGAATGAGTTTCATTTGCTTTTATACCATACGAAACGAATTAATTTAAAACTGCGATGGCTCGGTGGCTAAGAGGTAACGTGCACGCTTCGTAAGCCTAAGGCTGCGGGTTCGATCCCTGCTAAAGTCGATAGATTTGCTGGATGCGAAAATCGTATGCACGCATGTCATATGATTATGTGGCATGTAAGAGATCCCTAAAACATCAATTTGTCTCTGGCACTCTCGACAAAATTAAATCACGGCAATATTTAGCATTCGATGAGAGCTTGAAATAAAATTAATTCAAGCGTCGAAATTCGATAGCGTGATCCACCACTGGAGGGGGCCACCAGGAAATGCCTCTCACATTTATGGACTTATCGTGTCCGCAAAGGCACAGTTGCCAAAATAAAGCCCATTAGGGAAAAAACTTTATCAGTGCACGAATCTCGGTCTTTTCCATTTTGAAAAGCCACTTCACGTGTACAACAATAAAAAGCATTTACACACCACAGCTCTGTACTTAGAAAACTTATACGTCATGTGTTTACTCATGAAAGATGATTATTTACTGAACTGAACTTAGTGGCACAACAGACCATAAGGGCCAAGGCCTACTATGCCTATCCCAGTTTTCATGATCTTAGGCGCTGGGGTGCATGTGCAGATGTTTTGGTCAAGTGATCAGTCTGACGTAAAAACCCCAATGTTCAGTTCCCAAGCAAACTTGGTACTCATTTATCGACCCACTGAAAGGATGAAAAGCTGAATAGACCTTGCCCAGCCCGGGATTTGAACCCCTGACCTGTGGCTTGGAAGCACGATATACTACCTCTCAGCCACTGAGCTTTCATGATTATTTACAACGTCACATAAAACTAGATAGCTCAGTAGTGATCTATATTGATTATTCTGAGAACTTTTCAAACCACCCTTGTGTGTTTAACTTTATAACTAATACAATTAACATTAGTGTTAAATCCATACATGCCTCAGTTTGCTTAAAATAAAATTAGGAATATTACCATTTGATTTGATAGTTTTATTAATATCACAATTCAAAGTAATTTGAGGACTATTGACGACGAACTTAGTAATGTTTTCGAAGAAAAGTTTCAAATATCATCACATTTCCTCCTTCAGTGGCTCGACAGCCTAGGGTGGACCTTGGCCTTCTCAAGAAGCCTTTTCTTTACCAGCATTCTTCCTGCTAGTGTTCTCCAAATTTTTGTTCTCAAAACTAGATTTTTTTTCTGGGCCATCAATCCAACTATGATTTGGCCTGCCTTTTCTCCGTGTACCAATTGGTTGGGCATTGAAGACTTTTTTAGTGGTACGGTCTTCGTCCATTCTGACAACGTGGCCTGCCCATTTATTTCGTTGTATTTTGATGAAGTTAACGATGTCAGATTCTGTATGTGATTGATAGAGCTCGAAATTTGATCTTCTTCGCCACGTTTCCTTTTCCTGAATTCCTCCAAAAATAAATTTTAAAATCTTCCTTTCGTAGATACTTATCATGTCTTATCTGTTCCGAGACATAGACCAAGTTTCACATGCATACGTTAATACTTATCTTTAAAGACTTATACAATAGAACCTTTGTGTGTGTTTTTCTTTTGATTAAATTCGATTTCATATATATTTCAGTATTCCATTAAGACATGTATTAGCCATTGTAATTTTCTTTTAGATTTCAGTAGTATATTTGTTTCTATTGTTAATTTCCGAACCTAAATAACATGATTTAGCGAGAGAAAGTCATGTATTTGGTCTTATATTCTCATTCATTTCCTCTATCATTCACACTTACAGACAATATTTCACGATCAATATGAACGATTGCAAATAGAAATGTTTTCACTTAAATTTCCAAATAGAGATATTGCCATGACATAGGCTTAAACAGCCCTTTCACAGTACTTTATTTTCTTATATTATTGATTATTGATAGCTATGAGGGGTATGTATACATTTATTCAAAAGAAATCAAAGAAAAAAAAGGGGGTTGAATTTTTGCTTAGAAAAAGAAATTTAGGGGATAATTTATCTTTCTGGCATGACATCTCACTTATAAATACGTCTCGAAAACATATTGTTGCAATCTCTATGGGAACATATATAGTGTTTTATATACGATAAGAAAATCAATCGTAGACGATAAGAAGAAAATGATATATTTTCATTCCGTCTGCACGTATCATTTATTGTTGACTTACGCAACAGTAGAGAAAAAATTATTTTTATTTTGCATGCTTGTCTCACAGAAAGAATATACTGAAGAATCACAATACTGAGTAAATACATTTAGCTCAGAGATATACTGTCAACAGGATTTTACGGGACTTTTTCTTAATTTGCTGATGACCCAACCTTACTATTATGTTATTCATTTCCTACTTTTAGTTCACACTCTCCCTATATATATTTATTTATATAAATGTAATAATTCCCAGTAATTTAGTCTTCAATAACTTTTGATTTATCTATGGTCCATTCCTTCAGGACAACCATTTAATTATTTTAACGAGCTACCCGCCTAACGGGGACTTTTGGAACTACATTCATCCACCTTTCAGATCATGTGATTTCCCGCTAAGTATAAATAGTTAGATTTCTCTGGAAATCCCACCCTTATTTCTTTGTCCTTTCACCATGTAGTCGACTGCAGCGCGTTGTGTATTCGTTTTCTTTGTTCTGAGTTGTGTGTCTTCTTGTCTGCTTCTTGTTATGTTGAAACGATATACTGAATGTTAAATAAACCAGATTTACTATTTCAAAGGACTGCCTCATCGATAACATAAATATAGAACACCAACCATCATAGAAAATGTATCTAATAATAAGAAATCATCACCAATGGCCACGCCCTATCATTCATTATAGTATCTCTCTCTCTCATTACCACTCTCCACGTCTTTACAGGGTTACTACAGTTATCATTACTACTCGCCAGCAATAAAATAAAATTATTTCATATATATATCTTATTCAAATTTTCAATCGTTAGTAAAATACTTTTTATTCATCGACTCAAGTTCAAATACATCTTTTTAATTTGTAGTGGATGTTACTTGATATTAATATAGTTTTTTGAAATATTAATTAATTCATTAAATTTAATGAATGAATAAGTAGTAACAAAGATAATAGTCCAACACCATATATAAAAAAGAAAATTGCTCGATGTATCTCTGTAGCGCAATGGGTAGCGTGTTGGACTTCTAATCCAGGGGTTAGGCTCGAATCCTATCTGGGATGGCCTAATTTTGGAGAATGAGTTTTATTTTTACTATACTATTTTATTGTAATAATTAAATTTAATTGAAAGATAAATAGTAACAAACAAAAATAATAGTCCAACACCATATATAGAAAAGAAAATGAAAAAATTATGCAAGGAAAATCGCTTTCTCTCTATTTTGCCTCCTAATATTGTGATTCTGTCCTATGTATATACATATTTACATTAATTGTAATTATTTAATAGAAAGTAACTAAAATAAAAATTTTCTTTGTTGACCTAAGTAGGAATTGACTTTAATTTTTTTATATTACTTGTTTTAACTTTACTTTGCCATACCGTAGTATTTCCTAAAAGTATAGGCATGTCCGCAACAAAAACCTTCTTATATTTTAAGCATCTTGCCATACTTCAATAAATACATTTGAATCGGAACAACTTGAATTCCTGTGAAATGAACATGACCTGCGGAAGTACATTTAATGTAGCAATTTATTAAACGTCTATTTCATTGTATTCATACAAAAAACTGTAAACCATTTTTATGAATAATGCATTAAAATATGCAATCTTTCGTAATTTAACTTATGTATGATTTTCATTTTTCACAGATCATTAACCATTTACTAATATTATTTTAAAATCCTGTTTGTGTTTGATAGAAACTAATCTAAATATACCCTACTTTGTACTGCAAATAATAATTTTTCATTGATTCTTTAATTGCATAAGTTTTTTATAAATGTATCTAGTTTTGTAGAAATTATCTTCCGACATTATTTGGTTTGTTTCAATTAAAAAATGTTATATAAGGCTTCTTCAATGGCAATGACAACGGACGACATAATTTTTAGCCTTACTCAAGTGTCGAATGAGCTGATGCCTCTTTCTTCTAACTTCTACAACGCATGTACCAATTGACGCCGTTCAGGTTTATACGGATGGCTGCAGATTATCGATCTGGCAGCGGAATTTACATCAAATCACAAAGTCATAGCTTAAGAATCCAGAGGAAAAGTCCAGACGGTTGCTCAGTTTTTCGCAGTGAGCTAATGTACATTGATGAGGGGCCCTTGGTTCTCTTGCATTTCTTCCCAATGGAAAAGAGATTTCGATACTGTCTGATAGTAGAAGTGCAATTCCAATAATTCTTACTTAAACATTCTTCCAATCTCTAAATATCTGGTTCATTTTCTAACTAATCATGGGCCTTTCCCCGCTTACTTGCAAATATTCAATCTCCTTCCCTCTCCAAATTGTCTGTGTGGGTCGCTTGGAGACGCCGACCATTACGTATTCCAATGCCCTTTCACTTCTGATCACCATCTTGTTAACCCCATCCTGAACGCTCTCTATCCAAGGGTTAACTCTATTATTAATAACCGTGCTATTCACAATAAATTAATTTCCTGCTTTGCTATTTCCAAATCTATATGTGATAGTCTGGCTTAACTTTCTCTTCTCCCTCTTCGGTTCTTGCTATTCCTTTTCATTTTTTTCCCTTTTCTCTTTAAATCTCTTTTCTTCCCCTCACATAATATATTGCAGCTTCCTGTTTTAACACTTAGTCATCATTCTGGGTTTACTTTAAGGTTAATTTCTTGGGGTTTTTTTCTCTCTCTCTTTTAGCAAAAATGGTATCTTTAATAAAATTCAATAACTTATCTGTTTTCCCTCCCCTTTTTTTCCTCTTTATCTTTTTGTTTAATTTATGCATCTGCATTCTTTCTTTTGGTGTCTTTAAAATATAATTGGAGGAGGAGGTCTAAAAAAATCATCTTTTTCCAGTGATTTTTTTAAAAATCTAAAGAACCATTAACGGGAAATAATATCAACAGAAAGTGCTGGCGCCAACTGGAATTATGGTTCAAAGAGCATTTTTTTGTCATTATTATTATTTTTGTTTCCTGTTTTTCTTTCTCTTTTTCACACCTCGTGTCTTATGTCTGTTTCAGGGTCTTTCCTTCTCCTTAGAAGATAGCACCTATGTACGTTCGTGTCTGTGTTTGTTGTGTGTGTTTTCTTTTTTCTTTTTTTTTGTATTTGCATTGTAATTGTAAAGCGTTTTTTCTGTATTCTTCCCCCAGTTCTCAAGAATTTTGGGAAGGGTCCCTCATTCGGGACCTTTTTGTACATGTTTTTTGTTTAATTTGAAAATAAAATACTTCTCGGAGAGTCGAATGCAGCTCTAAGCCCTTTGGGTGAGCTTGATTCTCTGGAGTAAGTAAGTAAGAAAGCACTTGTCCAATTGGCAAAGTGTGAGAGATAATGTTGGAGTGTCAATTCTCAGCAAGTTAAAACGACTTTCTACATCGAATCAGATTCATCTGCAATGGATTCCCTCCCACCTAGGTCTAAAGGGAAATGAGATTGCGGACATTTTGGCCAAGACTGGCGCTTCCTATGTCCCAGAGCCGACAGCACCCCTCATCTTTTTGGAGATTTTCTCTAGAACTAAACACAAGAATAAGACCGCTTGGACTGTCCCCCCTAGAGCATCATTGGTATCAGTGTTCTAGTCCTGGAGGCTTTCTGGCTCACAGTTTTAAAAGACAGGAACAAACTCTTCTAGTCCGCTTTCGAAGTGGTCATTTTAAAACAATGAAATTTTTCGAAGGATTCAAGAGCTTTGAAATGTGCACGAACTGTTCTTCTGAGCCGGCCTCACCTGCTCACATCCTCGAATGCCTAGGACTCACCAAGCAGGATTTAGCAGACGATCCCTTGCTGGTGTTGAATTTTTTTGAAAGCCTACGAAGTCATGAACCTGGTCTAGCACTGCTGGCCAATGGGGGCATACAACCACACAACGCATGTAGGAAGCTTAATTGAAGTCTACGTGCGATAACTAATCTTTTGGTCAGTGACTTCGTAGATAAAGTACTATCAACCTCTCAGGTTGATGGTACATCAGAATCCTACCTCTCAGTGAGTGAGTGTTCATTAGTGTCGCTTTCTAAAGTAACTCGAGGACTACTGGCGACGGAACTCGTAATTTTGAACCATGGTCAATTGACGAGGGCGACACCTGAGCCTGCACCTCACTCTCCTAACTTCCACACCCTTCCAACTTGAGGACTTTCTGAATCATGTCTACATGATAGGTCTTCAGTAGCATCAGAAGGCCGCAGTAGCCTAGTGGTCAAGGTAATGGACTCTTCGAGTTCAAGCCAAGAACTGCTGAAGACCCGCCGTGTAAGGGGGCGATGCACGTTAAATGTGTCCACCCATCAGTGGGGTGTGGAAATTAGAAAAGGGGGTGCCATCTCAGGCATTGTCCTTGTGACTTGACCTGGGTTCAAAATTACGAGGTCCGTCGCCAAAAAGCCTCGAATAGCTGAATAGTGTGACGTTAATATTCACTCACTCAGTGACATCAGGAACCCTCGACTCGAAAACACCCACCACAAGCTCGTGACTATGACCACTAGACAAAAGCCCTCTACCTCATTAATCTTTCAAACAAGCTCCCTTTCCTCTGTGACGTTTCAGATAAATAACGGTAGCGTGATAATGATTAATTTAAACATTCAGTTTATTTATACTTCACGGCTATTATTTTAATGTATAGTAAAAGATTATTAGAATTCCAATGATATGGTTTGTGAGAGAGGAATTCTCTTCCGGGGCCCGCTCTCTTCGAAAATTTCAAATCATCTCTGGTTCTCCCTCTCTCTCTCTTCTCTCGTTTCGGGGATCAGGGCCCGGCATCTTTTTAGCATCCAGTTACATCCTGTCAGTGGCGGGAAAGGGGTCCTCGTGATGTCAAAAAGTTACGCAGGAGGTCCAAAGCGGGATCACGCAATAACTTTCAAGATGCAGCTGCAAAATGCACGTGTGATGATTATTTCCACAAAGAAGCCGATTAACAGTTGTGTGGTGGGAATCGTTACACCTCCAAGCCGTGTTAATTGTCTCCACTAATCGGGTATACACTATTGACAAATATCATTTGTCGGACTCTCATTCCAGGTTATTGCATTTTAAAGTGCCTATATAGGGCATTGCTGAATTTGAACGACAAATTCAGAAGTAGCATGGGGATGCTAAATCACCATAGAACATGGTGTCCCAAATCACATTTAGTCAGTGGCCGTCGGGGGGTCGACAAGCCAGACGAGGGGAGTGGCTAAACGAATAGGGGATTTGGGGTGCAGTGGTAAGGTTGAAGAAACCTGATCGTATGCGAATAGTTCACTTCTCCTGCAGTTACTGCAGGGAGTACCAGACACTGCGCAGCAGAACGTGTGGTTCAGGCATGATGGTTCACCAGCACATTTCTCAAATTCAGTGCGTCACCACCTCCATCCTGCATATCCAGGGGGTTGGAAGCGGCTGTCTTCTTATTTGGCCTCCATGCTCCCCGAACCTGAATTCCATGGATTTCCTCTTCTGCTGTCAACTGAAATCGCTCATGTTTGCAACACCCGTGGCTAGTGGAGGATGTCACGGCAGGGATCAGAGTCGTTTCAGCTGGCATCGCCGGCACACCAGACTTGTGTGAATGCGTCCATCAATCTTTCGGGCGTTGGTGTCGGCTGTGCCATAACCTACACGGCCACAACTTCGAGCAACTGTCTAAGACAATCCCTTGTGGTTACATTTCTGACGTCAAGATGTGTTGCTTTGTTCGTATTGTAAACAAGTTTTGAATCTAATAGATGCATTCATTAACTCATATTGCACCTTTTCATTCCACGCCTCATCCCACCCTTCATAATTGTTTTTGCGAATTACTCCGAACCAAACGATGTTTGTCAGTCCATGTTCTAAGGTGATTTGTTGCCCCCTTGCTGCCTACTATCACCCCTCTGAATGTGTCTGTCAAATTCGACAACAACCTGTATTTTTAATTTAACTTAATTTAATTATAAAAAAAAACGTGTTTCTAAAATTTTTTTATTGAAATATGGTGGTAAAAGAGAGTTTCATTTTTGCAGGGGCTACTAAACTCATTTATGTCGTTAGTTTCTGTCATCATTCAGAGAAATTCACCATCATTCCATACGACTACCAT